TGAATCGCTAATCGTCGAAATCAGGAATTTTCCTTATAATTGTCCCCCCCCCCCCCTCTCATTCTCTCTCTTCTTTGTTCTCCCTCTCCGCCGCTCTGTACCTGCCTCCACCTGCCCCTTTCAGAGGGCAACGATGAGAACGCACTTGCAAAGCGATGAAATCCTATTGTGAAAAATCGGGTGTAATTAATCAAGTCTAATAGTAATCCCCGCGTTTCTTCCTCTCTTCCTCTCTATCTCTGATTAAGTATATCCCCGAGAGAGAGAGAGAGAGAGAGAGAGAGAGAATGGACGAGAACGCATTTTGTAAGGTAACGAATCTTCATTTTCCGATGTTAGAAATTAGCTTCGCATTTTTTTTCCTCTCTAGCATGTTCCCGTTTCTAATTAAGTATATTCGAGAGAACTGTCGTGAACATACTTTCCAAAGTGACAAATTCGTAATCTTCGAAATGAGAAGTCAGCTTGATAATCGCACCGGATTCTTTCTCCTCTATTCTACTTCCTATTCGCGCGTCTGCATAAACTCGAGATAACCGATGAGAGCGCGTTTTCTAAAGTGATGGATTCTCTATTTTTGGAATTAGAAAAATTATCCTTGCAGTTGCCGATTCCCGCCTTTCTCATTCTTTCATTTCTCATTATTAGCCGGATTAAAGCGAAAAATGACAAGGGCGTATCTTGCGTGTAATACGCGAAATGAGAAATGTTTCATTCTCGAAATTAGAGGAATTAACTTTACAAGATGTTAAAACTTTTTCCCTCTCACTCCCCTTCCCTGTTTTTACCCCATTCGTCTTAATTGGGGATTGAGAAAGATGAATTCTCTCATCTCGGATTAAAGTGTATCGCCGTGAATTTTTGTCTTGTTTCACATAGTGTTCCGTAACATGGTTATATCGCGAGGTCGTGCCAGCGTATGTTAAAAGAACAGGGGTCGGGTGAAATTTCCAGTTTCGAAGTTCGGATCTGAAATAATGCTTGTGTTACTTTCAGCGCTTTGTTTGTGCATTATTATAATTTGACTTTCTTTAAAAATAAATGATAAATAATATCTCGGCATAATGAAGAGAAAAGCGACATTGATGTTTTATTGAATCGTGAAAATATGATTGAAGGCTCATTTTACAAATTGTTATTTTATATATAAATTGTTATTTTTATATATGTATGAGTGCAAGCGTGGCATAACAGACAGCACATTGGTCTTATTATGCTAGCGGACCTGGGTTCGATTCCAGTAGAAGCCAGAAATATTTACGCTCGTATCTTTTCTTAGAAGGCAATGGCAAATCACCAAGAGAGAGAATATCCTTGCCAAGAGAAATCTCTCAAAAATATTTGTCGTTCGAAACCGACATATGAAGAGAAGTCAGCACGCTTCTGCAAAAAGAAGCAACAGGACTGAAGATATATATATAATTATGGTGCATGTAACTTTCTGAATCATTCATGCAGTATTCTTCTATGAATTCCTGAAGAATTACAACTCGGTGAAGGAGAACACTTCAAAAATACTTTACGAATTCATTGTGCTATTTGGATTTGTCTCAATATTTTTTCGATATTTTGTTTTTTTTATATTTTACTCAGTCGATCTTCAAAATGTTATGTATTTTTGCTTCGTGGGAATTAATGTAACATGCAACTTACGTTTTAAACCTATCCTTTCTCGTGATTTCTGTTACGTTAATTTTACGGTTATTTATCGATTACCGAAATGAAAGGGAATCGTCCGGACATTTTTACAAGTGTGCGGAGTCGGTCACGAGTGTCATTTTGTGCGTGCATTGTGATCCTTAAGCCCGGATCTACAATAGATGATGCGAGATTTAAACCGTAAGAAATTAACTAATCAAAATTGATTATTCTTCTATAATTCGACTGTGATTGGTCAATTTCTTACAGCTTAAAGCTTATTACACCTATTGTAGATCCGGACTTAGGTTTTTATTTACACGTATATCGCAATAACTTTGGTATGCGGTTTCTCGCTTTTGACGAATAAAGATAGTTGTCACAAGGACACAGAAGCCTTAATACATCCTTTTTAACGTTTTCAGATCACAAACTGTAGAAAATCTAGCGCAGAAGATAGAAGTATCTTTATATCATATTAAGATTATTATCTTATTATTATACGCGCGAAACTCTTAAAAGTAGCTTGCAAGGCAAATCCCTAATTTTCATTTTTATTTCCTTCAATTTCAAGTCCTTTTTTTAAATATCAATATCGATATTTATGTTCTGATACTACCCAAACAACAGAATGCCTAAAATCATAATACATAAGACGTCTGAAAGGTGTCACGTGTTAAAAACATCTTAAAGACGCGTTTCGATTTTACGCATTCTATTGTCTGGCTGGTATCATTAATAATACCGATACTCTTGATTGCCCGTATCGACGTTAGTATCGACACTTTCATGGCCACCACAGAGCCCTAGCTGTGATCGAGAATCCATCAAATACGGCGAAATCACGCACGGGCTTCGCCACTGGGGACAGTTGCTCGACACCTCTCTCGTTTCCCTGATTCTCGGATCTAACGTCTTAATCTACTCCCTCTCGCCCTCCTATTGTTCGCAACAGAAATACATCTCATCGACGGCGCCGTTTCGGGTGCGCCCCATTGATCGAACGAGTAATCCCAGCCGATTGAGCCGAGGGCTCGCGTGTTCGGCTTAACGCGAGGGCTCGCACGCGGAAGAGAGCGCACTCGAGGGAGACCTTTCGGGTCGCGCGCGCGGCCGACACTCGATAATTCAACGGGCGGCCGATATGCCGTATTCTTACTTGAAAATCAATACCAGGAACCGGCGTACTTTCGTCGCCGGCCTGTCGGTGTACAGTGCGAGGCACGTATCCGCGCTTTTTTATTGGCCAATTGAGGGCAGGAAGCACATCCGTTGTTCGACCGCAGTCCGTAAAGCACCGGCGGGACGGTAGGTAGCAGACGGTGGTAGCAGCTTGCAGAGTCAATGTAACTCGCCGGAAGTACGAGAGTCGGAGCGATGCTTTCTCTCTCTCTCTCTCTCTCCCTCTCTCGTCCTTTCTCCGCTTCTACTTTCGCTCGAAGTCTCCTCCGGCCGTTTCTTTCCTCAGCTTCGCGCTGGCAAACGATCAAGCCGTCCGCCCCGTTGAAGCACGAGGAGGATCCTTTATTGGAAATACCTAATTGGAGCGAGGAGGACGGAATGATAAAGGGAATGGTAATGGCTGCGCGTATCCCGTGGAGTACTGACGGCACCCGAGTATGCCTCGAGTATGTGGGAAGTGCGAAGACTCGAAGTGCCTTAGATCGGGGTCTCTCGGGGCTGCTCCGTCCGTGGACCTCCCGAATGCTGCGAATTTCATCGAATCAGTGACGGGCAGATATATATACAGACGTCCGTCGAAGATTCCCGGAGCGCTCTCGCGCACGCGAAATTATCCGGGCGCCTTCGTCGGTTCGCGCGATTCTTCGTACATTCGATACCTCAATTAACGAGTTGAGTGCAAGATTGAATAGAGATCGTCTGTCGTCAAAGAGTCGCAAGATTAACCCCCGAGTCTTAATCCCCCGAGATCCCCGGGGATTCTCGTAAGGAGCTGTTAGCTTAATAAGCTGGATCTCGGACCGGCTTTAAGTGGATTAAAACGAAGAAAAAGGAAATGCCTGGGGGTCGCTTTTCCACAAATATCGTTTCACGGAGTACAAGAAATTAGCTTTCGCGAGGGCATTATTTTCGCGCGGTTGCGATCGCTAGTACGCGGGAGATGGCGACATGCGCGAAAATTCGACGTTAGTAAAGCGTTGCTCGATATCCCCGAGAATGATCGTTACCAGATATTTCCACTTACCTTTTCAATGGACCGGTCGAATATCCTCGAAGTGCTGCGCCATTATTTCAGCGAAATGCTAAACCGCCGTTCAAGCATGAATTTCATTCATTCTCATTTTGCCTTTATTAATTAATTAATCAATTAATTATTTAATTAATTGCTTATAATACAACGCGTTGACTTACCCTATACGTACAATATAATGTATGGCTAACGATAATTACTAAAGTAACATTTATGATACGGTCAGCAATTTACACGTACAGGAGTTACTTCGCATTATTGATTGCATAAATTAGGACGAAATATTCATAATAATTTATAATGTATGATGACGATGGCACGTAGAAATAAATAATGCATGCTTATGATGAATAAAATATCGCGCGTGCTCAGTGAGAGCTCAAGAATTTTCCGAGATCGAAAAAGTCAAGAAAATTAAAGCTCGGAAATTCAAGAAGTAAACAACAAAAGTCCAATAATTTTGTAGTCAATCGATTTCAGCGTCGAATCTTCGCGGGTTGAAAATCGTCGTGGAATTTTGATAAATTTGTTGACCAAATTATCTTCGACAGCTGCACGCACGTGAGACTAGCAATCGTTTATCTAAATAAAGGCAGCGTTAAACATTTTCTCCTCAACCCCTTCAAGCTCAAATTATTTTTGGCAGAAACCTTTCTTGCAGACAATTATGTACTCCTATGTACGTATATATTTTCCTAACAATACAATCATATAATATACAATAGAATATATGTGATGTAATAAATATACAACATATACGGCACGTATCAATATCGTATATAACACGGTCTATATATTTACATAATTGTATATAACGCAACGTTGTATCACTTACATATTTATCGTCGTTACTTAGAGCACGGCCTTGGGAAATTAATTGAAACGATCCCATAACTCGAAAATTTTAACGATACTTCGCGGCATCGGCGAGCTTGAAAGGGTTAATGATCCTTACACCCTTAAGTTGCTTTCACATTAATATATAATTACAGGCTCAGGGGCTATCCGTAATCCGCGAGCACGCTGACGAAGCGCATTTCGATCTTGGAAAGCCCGTGGCCGAGATCGATTTGCCGCCGGGAAGGGCAAATTACTCCCTAAGGGTTAATGAACGGTTCATTAATGACGCATTAGGATACGAACGGTCTCGCGAAAATTCCAAACAACGCGATTAATCTAATGGATCCCTTTTTTCCCCCGTTACCTCTCGATTGTGCTTGATTCGCATCGTAAAGTCGATATGTGTGCCGCGCCTCTCTCGTCAATTCCCGCGCATAATTATCACTTCCCGAAGATAATTAAAAGATTGCTCGAGTAATTTTTATCAGAGGAAATCATTCCGATTCAACGACTTTTTTTTTTAATAATTAAGGAAAGAACAGAATTGAAGAACCTGTATAAATCGCGAAACACTCTTCAATTAAAATCTCCGACTTAGCTCTTTGAAATCATTATTATATTCGATAATCGAGAGAGTGAGAGAGAGAGAAAGAGAGAAATTGTTTAATTAATTTTAATTCAAAGACTGTTATAAATGCTGCCTCGAATCACTCACAGTATGAATTAATAAATTAGAGAGGGAGAATGCACACTAGTGTTAAAATTCACTTTATTTTTTTGCCATAGAATATTACTCTCGCGTGATAACGATAAAATTCATCGATTTTAACCGAAGATATTTCTTCATACCTAACTCGGTTGGGGAGGGGGAGGGGGGGGGGCAGGGAGATGAAGCGTTCATTCGTCCGAGAATCTGAGATTAATAGTTATACTTTCGGTTATGGGCCGAGACGAAGTGAATGTCATTCGCGATGAAATCACGACGGAATGGAAATGGCGCGTCCGATCGATTAGATCCCGAAAGGAATCGCGGTCCCGCTCGTTTATTTTTCACCCGACGACGACTTAACGTTACACGGTAACCTCCTCGGAAAATCTGCTCTTGTCGTCCAAGTTGATAACTATAGCGTGTGTTCTGGCGTGGCCGGACTTGCTCCTGGACTTGTCCTTCGTGTCGGTTTCTTTACCGTTATCCTTTTCGCGACACACTTCTCTATCGACATCCTCGCCGGCCTGCCTCGAGGAGGTCGATACGGCGATGTCCCTGCTAGCTTTCTTTACATCCGGCGTCTCGTTATCCTTCATAGGATCTTGCGTATCCTTCAGCCCGATACCGTTCTTTTCGATGCACGCGCGGCACCGATTTTCACCCTGAGAACCGTTCCCTGAACAAATCGAAGCGTTACCTATTCGCAGGGCTCGTCGCGATAAAACGCGCGAAATTAACAAGCGACATTTCAAATACGAATCATCCTCACGCCGCGGTGCCTCGGACTCCGGACTTTTACGACAGATTCAATCGGACACAATTTTTTGCGCGATGTCGTAATCGGATTGCGTCACTTTTTATTTTACCTCATTGTTATCCTTTCTCCGTTCATTCAATTTCCAAAAAGGATATTCTTTTAATTCTCCCCACTTTGAAATACGGACAAAAATATTTAAATACGGATAAAAAAATATCTAAATACGAATATAAAAAAAAATTCGATTAATATGATTTTTTATCAAAATTTTTTTTTCCCTTCGGTATTTTCCGTCTCTGGCTTTGATTTAAACCATATTCCTGCATTTGTACAATTTAATTCGGAGAACAATTTTTTTCTGACTTTATATTCGGCCCTTGTAATCTCACACAGATATATTCATACAGATAAAGTGGCTTTTCACGCGACTTATCCGGCACTCGTCTCGAGAATTTTATTTCCGAGCGCTTCAACTTGAAGGAGCATTGCGACACGTTACGTATCGCGCGATCTTGCTGACTTTTCGCGAAAAATGCCGTACGTATGTTTTAAACGATCCGATAAAAACTTCGTCTTACTCCTACCTGCTCGGTCCTGCTCCTGGCAAACTTGTCCAACGTTGGTTTCCTCTGTTGATTTATTGAGATCGTTCAACTGAACAATACTGGTCGAGATGGCTTGAATCGTGGACACTTGTGCCTCGACGCGATTTGAAACGTCCAGCATGGCCGCTAACTTGCTGACTAACTCTTGATTTCCTAGCAAAACGTTCTTCTCCTTCAGGACTTCTAACTGATTGAGCAATCGGCGAAACTCCTCCTGCGCAAAAATATCTCTCGTTACTAAAGTTTATACGGTGCCGAGGAAATGTTTAACTTTCAAGGAGATCAAGTCTTCAGGAACCTACGAGAGAGGTCTCCGGTTTCTAATATTTCAAGGTTCTGAGACCTCAAAGTTCCGAGAGGCTAAATTCGTGCTTTGTCTTGGAGCGCTCGGTTATCAACCGTTTAAGACTCTGACACCACAGAGTTCCGCGAGACTCCAAGCTATCGACGCTCAAAGATCTTGAAATTCCGAGACGCCAAAGTTCGACAGCTTCGACGCTTTAAAGCTCAGACGGCCCGGACGTTGACACGTTCCGAGGTTCCGACATGCCAAGACACCGCGATTCTGAAATTTTCAGTTCCCGGTTCTCCTCGCGAGGTTGGATTAATGCTAGAAACGGCGCAGTCGAAATCCACCGGAGGAAGAATCGATTCTAGTTTCTGTCCGAGAATGTTTAACTAAGAGGAAGAGCGCGCGCTGCTTCCGGCTCGGAAGCAGTTCGAAGGATCCCGGGAATCCCGGGTTTACCGGAGGCGATGCTTACCGTGGCTGAGTCGCTTTCTTCGGCAAAATTACCCTGCTGAAGGGATATCGAGTTGGTCTGGTTACTGGTGCCCTGCGGACGACTGCTTTTCCCCAGGAACTTGCCGGTTGCGCCGCAAAGTTTGCCGATCGTCTCCTCCTTCCCTCCGCCGCGGAACACCACGTAAGCCTTCGTTAAATGCGACATATGTAACAACCAAACTTACGCAGAGAGCGACGGGGTTTCCATTCAGACTACGAGGACTCGCAGTAATCTTGCATCGCGCAGAGGCGCAGAGCGAGGGGGAAGGCGAAGCGGAAATTGCGCGATCTAATCTCATTTCGTTCCGATTGAATTTTATTTCGGCTCTTACGCGCTAATGTACCCTCCATTTTGTCACAATGACATCGCGGGCGGAGAAAAAGCGATTCATTCGCGGAATTATTTTGTATCGAATTGTATATTTTCTGCGAGAGAAGTTGGAAAATATCTCAAAAGCAAGATTTCGTGATCAATGTGAAACTTGATTTATATAAAGACCTACGGTCGTTAATACCCGAGAGATTGGGGGTTTTCTGTCCAAATTTGTGAAAAGAAGGAGATAATTTCGAGTTCGGAGAACCAGTCGTTAAAATTCGATGTGCTTAAACACCTCGCGGATCAGCGATCCTATCCGACGCAATTATTCGTGTTCATTGCGACCGTAAAATATGCTGAGAGGAAAATATAGTTATTTTCGGGAACAACAATATCCTTTTTTTATTTTAACCGTAAAAGTGTAATAGTAGCAATATGCACGTAAGGTTATTGTCATTAACACTATAACATTTATTAGAAAAATAGTTCGATTATTTTTGTGATTGAAATGAAAAAAGAGGATATTGTTGTCCTCGAAAATAACGATATTTTTCTCTTAGTGTGCTGGGAGAGAATTCGAGGATAACGATAAAAGAATGGTGGAAAATTTGGGCGCATAACGATCGATACAAGTAACAACTGCGAGTGTTGGCCGGAAAGAAATAACGATTCCATGGTAAATGCGTGTAAATAATATTTCTTACTTTACTGCCGAATATCAGGCACAGCAGCAATGTGACGGTAAGCTGAGTATGGCAGAAAAATATGATGTACAATAAATCCGGATTGGCCGGCGATTGCAGGAACAACCTGCAGCAACGGGAAAGAAATTATTCAGAGCTGTTAGCCGCACGAAGCGTTATTGTGACGTGAGAAACCGCTATACCGCGTGTTCCATATCCTCCCCGAGTTATTTTTATTTGTTTCTCCGTTTCTCTCGAAAATTCAAATTGCACTCGTGACGTTGGATCGCGATGGGACATCTCGCATTCGTCGTTTCAGAGTTTAACGACAGACGTTTGGAAATGGATGTTTTCGAAACGCTCCTTCCTGACGGAAAGTTGGCGGAATCCTTGACTCAAGAAACGAGATACGCAACTAAAGTAGCAAGAATCTTCTCTTCCGATATCTCAGTGAAAATCTACCGTCATATCTATTATCGTATAATGTTGAACATTAAGAAATAAATCGCTATTTTTATCGTCGCTCGATTTCTGACCAAGTTCTCATCGAAGGAGCTGCATATTCGTTAAGGAGTCTGTCGTTAAATCGCAGGAAAGACGGAACATCATGAAATCGTTAATGTAGGTTTTACATCGAAAGTAAAGCTTGGTCTACAATGTGCTCTTTGTGTCTTGTTTCTCGCTCTTTGTCTTCCTTAGTAAGAACGTCTATTTACTTATGGAGAAAAGATAGAGAGCGAGAAACAAGAAACAAAGAGCATATTAGAGATCAGGTTTAAGCGAACTGAACGAACAAACTTATATATTTCAAGGCATGGAAGATTAAATACATGAAAGATGATCTTAGTTTTTCTATAAGAAATTTAATTAAAAGGATTATCGCGAAAATCGCATTACTACGATATAATCACGTTACGTGCTGAACGCTGTAATCAAGAAAATAATTACAACGTACAATATTGGAAGAAATATCTCACGCATATACGAAACACATGCACGGAAAAAAATTAGTATTAATTCAAGACTCGTATTCTCATATGTAAGCGAGAATATTTAATCTTTTACATGAAGATACAACTTGCTCTCACATGGATACATTTTATATAGTTCTATTAAAAATATTATATTTTTATTTAAAATTCATTAAAGTTAGTAAATTAATTCAATTCAGTTATTCAAAAATAATTTTTATGGATTAAGAGGAAGGAATATATTAGGTAGAAAAATGATATTTTAAAACTTANATTTTAATAAAACTATTGTGATATTAAGGACTAATATAGAAACGATTTACGAAAATTTCAGAATCATTGATAATTTTATTTCGAAAATATAGACATAAGAAATTTACAATTTATAATAATAACCGCGATATACGTACATATAAACTTATTTAAATATTTATATAACAAATTGCTATTATGTATGCACTTCTATTAACTCAACTGACTTATAAATGAAATATTATTAAGATAAATAAAAAATAGATAATATCTCCGCGTTTGTAATATTATGTGTATATTTCTCTCAGTTTCATTCAAATTTAAAATTTGTTACTTAGATAGTTAAATAAAGTTATAGGAAAATATTTTTTCAGTAAATAATAAACTTATATATAACTAATAATATTTAAATATGCTTATATATAGGAGCTCCTTAATATCGCTATTGAAAATCCGGCATTCTACGATACAACTATAACTACCTTAAAGATATTATTTGTCCTACCTTGTCAATATTTTTCCTTTCAATTTATGAAAATTATTTTTGATTAACATGAGTATATTAGTAGTAAAACTATGTAAAATGTCTTCATATAAAAGCTAGTTTTATCTTTCATCTTTTATCTACTATGTGTTATCCTTTATCTTTCATGTAAGACTACATATTATTACTTATAAATGAGAATATGAATCACGAATTGATATTAATTTTCTGTTCTGCGTTGAATTCCGTGTTACACATAATTACAGACGCAAAGTGCCCTTGTAAGCGTCTACCGTCTAGTCATGTAATTGACCATTCTATAGATAACAGTGTGGACAAAGGGCGGATCTTGGACAATGCGAACTTACATTGAAACGTTGAGGAAGACTGACAGTAGAAATTCGTTGTAAATCGCCATTGAAATGAATCGACTCTCATTAAACTCCGACGGAGTTTTTCTTACTACGATGCACAAGCGGATGCCCCACACGAGGAACATCACCTCGACTGAAATCACGTTAAATTCCAAGTCGCATTAGTTCCAGTGGCAGCCGAGTGTTTTGCTCGGAAATGCAGAGCCGTAGCTAGCCTGGCGCTTATTTGCGGTTGGAATTTCAATTTGCGCCGCATCGCCTTACACCGCGCGGAGCTACACGTGTAAAAGTCAAAGTAAACGGCAGTTACGTCACGCCCTAGTTACGGCTCTGTAAATCAAAGAATCTGTACGAATTCGACGCACAGTTCCGCGACGCCGCGAGAGTTCGTCCCTAAGATTCGCGTACGCGCCCGGCTTGTAAGCGGATTCGACAGTGGATCCGACGGCGCGTGATCGAGAATTGCTCGACGCGACTCTGTCGCAGCGGCTTCGACGGTGTTTGAATTAAAATACCTGTAGTAAGAATATACACCGAAAAGAGGATTTGGTAGTAAATACTAAAATTTGCTGAACACTCGCCGACCAAATATTTGATTATTGCAACCAATTTAGTTCCGTATATTGTATATACAATACCGTAGTTTTATATATTGTATATTTAGTATACGGAATTTAATTATTTGGTTGCAGTACCAAATATTTGCAGTCGGCTAATTTGCATTCGCTAATTTTTAGTACTTATTAGCAAATCTTTCTTCTAGTGTAGACATCGTCGCTGTGGCCGCCATGTTTACATTAAAATCGGAAGTTCACAGCTGTAATATACGCGACAATGTTCGAATATTATTAAAACAGTTGCAAACTGAAATAAGTGAATAATTAATCATAATATGAAACCCATAAATTCACCTTTCTTTTAACACATTTCATAGATTTCGTAGATGGCAAATCTTTGCTTGTGTTATCATTCGGCTGATAACTTTGATTACTTTCAAGCAAGAAACACAAGTTGACGCAAGTCTAGTTATATCATCATTCGTTGTTTATTTACATCATCGTATGCTTACTTCGTATTTGCACCGAGAAACCCATTTAGTTGACTTAAATTAAATTCTTGTTCGGATATGGACAAACAAATCTTTTGATCATAAGAAGCCAAAGTTCAAATTCAACGTTTGGTTCTCTGAACCAAAAGTTGAATTCTCTGAAACAAAAATAAAGAAGGTTTGTTTCAGAGAACCAAACTTTTATTTTTATAAACAAATTATTTGTTTGCCCATATCCAAACGAGAATTTAGTTCAAGTCAACCAAATAGGTTTCTCAATGTAATAAAAAAAAGCACATAATATTATCTAATATTAATTAAGATTCTGGGCATATTCTCAGAATATTAGACATAATATTCTAATAATATTTTAGTATTATTATTTAATATTAAGTAATATTTTTGGAATATTAATAGATAGTTATACGTCCACTCCTAATAATATTAAAAAAATAATATAATTTATTTAATGTATAATATCATTGTAATATTATATATTTTTTAAATATTCAACTCTATGTATATATATAATATATATAATTGTAGTTTCTGATTTCAAATGTATCGCAATACCAATTGTTTTATTATGTAAATAAAGTCGAAAGAATTTTGTGTAAAAATATATTTCATATTAAAAAAATTATGCATATATATGTATGAACATTTTTATAATATACCAAGAATATTATATGGAGTGGACGTATAACATCAATAGAATATTCCTACAATATTAAAAAATATTACACAACATTCTTAGAACATAGAATATTATAAAAATATTATTTTAATTATATTGAATAATATTCATATAATATTCTAGGAATATTACGCGCTTATAAGGAGACGATATAATTATTACATCGACTTTTGCCTCTTGCTGGAAAGCAATCTTCGACACATCCCGGCCGGAAGCTAAACGTGGCAGAGCCAATCAGAAATCCGACACACGACGTCTATACTCTTATTACAGGTAACTCCTCAGCGGGAAATGAGCATTGAATGAAAGTCAAACTAACGTCAAATCGAGCGCATCGAAATAATCGAAATTACATCGAATTCGATACGTTGATTCGATTCGACGAATCATTTCTCGCTGGGATTTAGTCTGAGCAGCCGGTGTTCCGTGACCGAAGCCCGTGAGAGAATCGCGTCCTCGGGCTTAAATTCGAACGTGTCTCCGGTAATTTCATGCATAAAATAACAAGAGGACGACTTTCACCTCCCTCAAACTGCAAATGGAAATGCTAATCGGGAGTATTCCGCGCACTCGGATACACAAGTTTGCGAATTTCTCAGACAGATAGATTAATAAGGGAAGTAACGTCTCCCGAGCCGATGCGAGGAGACGGAGAGGCATGAATTCATCGTGACGACGACGCGAGGTCACCCCCTCCCCCGCCTGGTCGGTACACTATCCATATTGATTTAAAATCGCGTTCGACCATTCGCAGTACTACTAAATCAATACGGCTCATGTGTGCATAGCCTCCTCCTTCTCCTCCTTTCCCCGCCTCCTTCCATATCTCATATTATATATATATATATATATATACACACATATATATAAATGTCGTGCCATTAACGCGCTTTGATCCTTCGTAATGTCCGCTGCTCGAACACACGAGATACACGCGCGACCGGCGAACCCGCCCGATTGAACGTAATTCGGTTTGATTTATTACCGAGCGATTTTTCGCGATCGTGCGCGCGTCCCCGTGGCTCGTCGGGTGTCTCACGAGACGCGGAAAGCAGGTACGTACGAGGAACCGACGACGGAGGATGGTAATGCGAACTAATGCGCGCGGCCACACGGTGTAATGCGGGAACTTATGGCCGCGACAAAGCACGGGGAGGGTACAGTGAGAGACGGATACCCACTTTCACGCCTCGTGCCCGCGTCCCACAGGCATTGCCCATTTTTTTTTTAACTCCTTCCCTCCTTTCCGCTTCCGTTCATTTTTTCTCCTCTTTTACCTCCCGTGGAAGGAAGGAGGGAGGAGCAAATTCCCCGCGCTGAATCCTCTCCTCTTCTCAAATTCGTCCTGACCGGCCCCATCCATTTCAACTCCTTTAACTCCGCTCGAACTACCGATATTAAATATTTCAATGAGTAAGCTTCGTGGCTGAAATTTTGTTACCGCTTTCCTCCGGGGAAAAGTTTCGCTCATCGAGCCACAGGACGTGGAGTAATATCTTCCGGTTATTTGTACGCGCGGACTCCGAGTTTAATTCGTCGGCCGTCGAACTTTCAATCGTGTTCTTACACGGCGCAATGTGTGAGATCGATCGTTCCGTAAGGCAAAGTTAATCCATGCCACCTGCTTCCTGCATTACACACGGTGGCCCCAGCTGTATCTCATTGCGGCGATATGTCGTGCGATCGAAGGAGAATCTAAGGTTTTGAGAGAGACAGAGCGCGCGACGAGGTATCACGAGCGGATCTATCTATATGTACAGAGGAGACCGGGGCTATTCAGCACACCTGGGAAAAAATGATTATACATGATTATATATAATTATATAAAATCATATATGAATTTTGACTGTATATGTGGTTACATACATAATCATATATGTCTATACGAAAGAAAATGATGTTATGTCATTTAGTTAAATGTCGATATCACATGTATATAATTTGTAAACAACAGTATTTCTTCGTTGTGGACACATATGGTTATATATCATATGGGCATATTTCGTATATGATCTTTTCTCCCGGGCACTTTTTACGTTTTATTCTCTTGTTCTTTTCTATACAGTATTCTTGTGATCTTTAGTATAATTCGAAAGTACAATCCTTCGGCGGCAGAAAAAATATATACCGAAAGGTGTGAAAGTAAATTTATAGAAGAAACTGGTTTTATTTTGGAGAGGCGTGTCAATTTGCCCCGTTAAGGGGGTACATTGGATACACTAAGAGAAATATGGTTTGATTTAATTAAACGTTGACGTGTTATGGTTTACCATAAACATATAAAGTTAATTCGACTTTATTTTCACTGTTATTATATGCCTTAGGCTGTAAAATTTAAACGATGATATGGCATATTTATTTAATTAATACTGCTATTGTGTAATAACAAAATTCATCTAATTTAGACTAGTGCTGTTGAAACGTCATTTCTGTATGTATTAAATAAATGGGAAAATGTACGTCAAATATTTCTCGATACTAATATATTTATGAAAAATATTAATATTCCTTTCATGCCAATTTACCTCAAAGTCAATTAAGTTTTTTCGGGTTATATACATAAAACATGATATAAATTTATTTTGTCGAAAATTTTGTCAAAATGTAATCGATTAAATATATTTTCTAACTGCGATAAGAACTAACATAAAGTTCTGCATTTATTAATAATATAAATGAATTTACTGATTCGAAATTGCGAGATTTTATTTTCACCACAAGAAACGCAATTTAACAATATTATTTCATAACCGTTGCACATAACGAGGTGCAACTTATGTTATATGTTCAAAGAGGATTTTTTGTATTTCTCACTCGCTTGATTCTGTAATTTGTTATAAAATAACCGAAATATAAGCGATGAGCCAACTTACCTTTGTAGCCAATTAGCTCCGGTCTTCCCTATATTTCTCTCTTTCTGTCTCTCTTTCTTTTCTTTGTTTTCGTTAATAAACGGAATAAAGCGACTGTCACAGCACACTCACGAGTAGTGAAACTGTGGTCCCACCAGTCAGTTCGGCAGAGGTACGCTTTGAGGTCGTCGGCGGTCCGCGCGACGATCACGACGGGCGGCGCGACCAGAGTCCTTATGCTCAGGAACACGCTGAACGTCAGGACGATGATGCCCAGCCGCTTTAGCAGACTCGCGTCCGTTATTTTCACGGCTTTCGCCGATTTCACTCGGAAGATCACGGATATCCTGCGAGCGAACATCGCAAACGTTTCGTTCGATCCATCTTTTAGTCTGGAGCACGTTATTTCCCGATTATTATTTAGCGGATCTGTAGCTCTTGAAGGATTTGTCGATGGAGTCAAGTTTTCAAGGCAACACAAGGAAAAACGAGGACTTGAGAGCACGCTTCGGAAATTTGTGAATTTGTGAATTCAAGGATTCGCTAATACGAAGAGTTCTGCGACAAGTAAATTGTGCATATATATGTGCGATATTAGCATCCTGTGATTACTGGAATACTGATTACTCGACATCCAAGCGTTAATGCATTTAGAGAAAAAATATATAGTCGTAGCAATCATAAAAGTGACAACTATACAAACTTGTACATAGAATTAATGCATATAGTTTAAGCTATTTTATAATTATTGCAACCAAATCTAAATGGTGTAGCGTAGCATAAACTATATTTTCCGATAATTATAGTCATCATGATCATTTCAATTTAATTGCAATAGCTGTGAAATAGTTTAAAACTGCAAACTACATGTATCAAGACAAAATTCGCGTAGTTGTCACATATTATTATATTTTTCCTTGTGTGATATTATCATCTTCTCTCTTCGTCGACAATACGATCAAGCTGTGCGATTAGAGGTGTCACGAGGGACAATAAATCTTCACCAAGAAACCACGTGATTAATTTGTAGAATATAACGTGGAGCCAACAAAATTAGTCGCGCAAACACACACACGTAAATCGAGAGAACGTGAAAGACACCGAGGAGAAATCAATGGAAACCAGTCAGAAGCAGAGCGTGCTAATGTGCGAACGTAAAGATCGGCATATAGCGTAATCGGCGAATAAGCTTGCGGCTTTTGCTCGGCGAGATAAACAGAATTAATTGTCGCAAAGCGGCCAAAATAAGGTCGCCGGAGTAGAGTGCACTTACCGCCACGTTTTGAGCATCAGTGCTCCGTATGTGAGGGAAAAGCCAATTTCTCGTAGCCACACGCGCACAGTGCATGTGATGATGTTTGGTCTTGGGTACATAACTATGGTCTGTAACAAGCAAATGCATATTCTGCAAAGCGTAGATGTTGCGCGAGTATTTCCGACGAACTTTGAGCGAAGTGTATCCGCTTGTATTCATCCACCCTGTATTGAGCGGATGAATTTAAATGACGTCACTCCGACGAGAGTTCGGCAGGGTGTGCCTCTTGTGTGTATGTGTGTGTGTGTGTGTGTGTGTGTGGGTCATTGCGATCCGTTCGACCGAATATGTAATTACTTAATTAGACTTAATTATTTAAAGCGCGCGAAATACGCGGGGCGTGCGCGCGCACCTCGAAAATTCGACAGGCGCGTGGAAATTGTGGCGAAAAGGACCTATTAATTTCCCAGCGAGAGGCCCCCTCTCGCCCCGTATTATTCGCACACAGAAAGGGGGAGAGAGAGAGAGAGAGAGAGAGAGAAATAATCGTAACGCGATCCAAATTTACAAGTATATGAGAATATAAATAAACCGAAATCTCCGAGATTTAATTACGATGAATATGGAAATGCGCGATGCACGCGATACGGGGATAAAATGGACGCTTCCCATCCCGAGATGCGGTTACTCGCGAAATGCGTGTCTAGCGGCGGAAGAATCTCGAGAGACGTTTGTTGCCGAGAGCAACGAAGGGGAGGGGGGGAAGGGNGGGGGGAAGGGGGGAGGGGGACAATTATTACTCGCGGTAAAATATATTGCAAAGTTGCGGAATAGCTTCTGTAGTAATAAGGCGCTCGGAGGGAAGGGAAACGCGAGGGGAAGCGGCTCTCTCACGCACCGCAAGATTCGATGGCGGCGGTCTCGCCGACTTGTTCCGAGTTGTATCGTGCGATTTACGCGACGACTCCCGCGCGTGAGTTATAATACCGAAGTTTGAGAAACGGAAAGCGCACCTATAAGCGGGCAAATGACGCCCCATTAAGAATGGCAGTTCGAGTTTAAGCGTAGCTATCCGGGAGTTCCGTCGTGGGACCGCCAAACATTACGTAGACACGTTATCGCCGAGTTCTCGAGTTAGATGACACGAAATGTATAACGCATACCGCTGGTACCGCTATCTTCGCGCCCGGCAGGAATCACGTAGCCGACATCGACCGGATTGGATCACGACGGTAACTCGTAACTCGAAAGCAGCGATTTCGCACTTTCGACTTTTCCGTCGCTCCTCCGCAGCTGCACCTTGCGACGGTATCCGGCGACGTGAAACTCCGAAAGAGGAAAGGAAATCGCTTCGCGACTCGGATGAAAGTTTCGACCGTGTGAATGTAAGTTAAATACACGGGAAAACGGGACCCACAAAGCGGAAGGTGGATAATGTGACGTAAGTTGGTAATTACTACCAGACACACGTAGCGAGTAATCATCCACGTCGGCCACAGTTCGTGCCTTGCATCGAATTTAGGAAAGAAGGATATTCCTACGGTGAAATGATAAAATTTTGGCAATCTGAATATTCAAAGATCTCCCCACCCTTTTTCTCTCTCTCTCTCTCTCTCTCTCTCTCTCTCTCTCTCTCTCTAGGGAGAAAGAGAAAGAAAGTACACTGATCGAAAATTATAGTTATTTTTAGTGCAACCCCATATTTTATAGTCGTAGCAACATGTATTATCACTGATACTATTATAGTAGAATTTATCAGAAAAATGGCTCTCCTAACTATTTATGTTGTTAAAATCAAAAAGTGGATATGGTTGACATTGAAAATAAATAATTATAATTTTCTACCACTGTAAGGACTTCAGCAATGGTTGACTTACAATTCTACGACAATGCTTTATGCCCTGAATTTTGATTTAAATTATCACTTATTTACTTTTTTTTATTATAAACGACGGTTTGTCATCAGTCGCGAACGGAACGGCTTTTCAGTTTAAGACTTAACACACAAGACATTATTATTGTGCTTTACTTGACTGAAAACAAAGGCTTAAGAATATAAAACATTAAATCTTAAATCGATAAGTCAGCCATTCTGCTGAGGCTCCATCGTCGATTTCGCACACGAAGGTTTATCGAAAACGCATTCGAGCCAGCTGTGTGCCTGAGTCCGACAAATTTCAGCTTAACTTCTGCCGATCTAAATATGCTTATTTCGGATAGAATCCCCCGTGCATATTACTTGTTACTTATTTACCGGCAAGCTTTCCCGGCAAAATGCTGCTATCTTATGCATATTTGATGTACTGTATACCTTTAGTGTAGTTGAGTGTCACGTAGCTACCACGCTACGCAAACACCTCCTGTAAACATCGAATGTTTGAGCCAGTTCGTGCTTATTTAATCACTGTAATTTAAAGTTTATATTGTTTAACGGATGTTCGGTAAAATAGCAACCCGGTGCGCTGAAACAGTCAACATCCAGCTGACATTGCGATGTGCACGGTGTGTATGTGTACGATAAGGCAAATTTATAATATAAGAGCACGCCTGGTTATTTCCCGAGGCGCGCGGGAGCGTGATTATCTTCCGTCTCGAAAATCTGTCTGCGGGAGAAAATGTTAAATCGAAAATTACACCAAAGAAATCTTCCTGACCGTTTCGGAGAAACGGAGAGTTCGAGAGGGGAATTAATTAACGTCCGTTACCGATATTACGGCTATATTTCCCTTTATTTCATCGCATATCACTGAATTAAATTCGGACCTTGATTTTTTGCGATTCTCCGTTGCCGAGACGCGATTTAACGTATAAAATAGTGGGATTCTCTTTTCCCCTTGAAATTTGAATACTTTGGGCATTTTTATCACGAAGTAATTATTCGCCACTCGTGTGTCTGGTGATGATCACAAAATTACGCCGAATGCACGGAGAAAACAAATTTTGTTAGAACGGCGAACGTTCGTCAATGTAGTGACAGCAAAAAAGAATCTGTTTAGACAGCGAAAGATTTTTTTTTTGTCACTATATTGGCAAATACTTGCTGTTCTAGCGACCTTTGTTTTCTCCGTGTGCTCTTGCAATTATATGCAATAAATTGCTGTCAATTACATCTATCTATCTATCTCAAGACTCTTCGAGTGCCCACCTGGGATCGGTATCTCAGGATTTCGCCGTCAAAAACGAGGAAAACGCGCGAAGTCATATAGTACGGGTGAGAAATTCTTGGAATTTACATTCGCGCAACAAATGGCCTTTCGCTCGCGGAATCGTCCTGGTTCGATAAGGCTCGAGTTTGGGAACGGGAGAGGGGGGGGGGGAAGGTTGTGAAATGTGATAGAAATTCTGCTATCAAGCAGATATATCACGTAAGGACGTGCACGGAATGTGTGTCGCGGCAGCTGTCACTACGGGTCACAACCGAGAGAGAGAGAGAGAGAGAGAGAGAGAGAGAGTACAAGCTAAATGCGATGTCTGGAATTATTTTATGTTGCTACATGATCTACGGTACTCTTGACTCGCGCCGTGTTTCAAAGGCGGCGCTTCATCAGACTAACAACGAGCGCGCGCCCACGCGCGCGCATCGCTTTTCTTCGCGTCCGACGTCCGAAAATCCAGACTGTCCCTCCGAATTGCCGGGCGAAGGGAATTCCCTCAGGAAAAATCCACCCGACGTCTCAATCGCGACGATATTTAATTTCACGCGAGCACGACGATGACTGCCGCGCACACAGGTGCGCGCGACTCGTGCGCGACGCTCTTCGAGGTTGAAAGTCTGCGAATAGTCGCCGAGTAGTCCGGATCTACAATATGGTGAGCCTTTAACCCTTTGCTCCGAGCAATAAAATGTAATGTAATTTCTGACAAAAGCCGTTTCCCGCGTCGCCAAGAGCCGTAATAACGCTTAAATCTTCGGGATTGCGAAATATCTGGTCTGGTAGCGCAAAATTGAAACGCTCTTTGTTAGGAATTACGTGACAACATTTCCCGCTTAGACCAAAGGGGTTGCATTTAAGCCTTTCTTAAGGCCGGATCTTATGTTTAAGATGGCCTTAAGTTCATCTTCAAATACTGCACGGCTCATTTCAACGGTTACGAAACACATGAAGATGAACTTAAGGATGTATCACACACAACTCATAATAATGAAAAAAAAATTATGGAAAGATTGCAAATTGATCTACATTGCATTTGAAAATGACAAATCAAAAGTTTGGCAGTAATTCAGAAATTGGATCAAAAGTTATTCCACATGGAAAGGAGGTTGTAAGGTGAAGTGAGTTTAAGAATTCGATGAAACTTGCATTGCATATACATTGATATACTATGTGACATATTGTTGTTGTAATAAGAAAAAACTTGACCATTCGAGAGCTGAGACATTAGTAACTTAAGTTGACACTTTTTATACGTGTTCCTTGAGATTAACGCGATATTTTTAATCTCTATTATTCTTAATTTCTTCTAAACTAAAAATAAGACTTTAATGAAAAACTATTATAATATATATATTATAATATTAAAGACTATAATATGCAGACTATAATATGTAGATATTATGCACAAATTTCAGAATTATCGACAATTTTGTTTTGAAAATATAGCAGAATGTAAAATTTATGACTCATAGTAATACTCGAAATATATTTACATATGCACATATTTAAACATTTATGTACTTCTTTCTATTATCTATGCATCTCTACCAGAGCAATTGATATATAAATATAGTATTAATAAGAAAAATAATAAATAATATAATAATATAATAAATAATATAAATTAATATAATTTTATATATACACACACATACATTATATATATATATATATATATATATATATAATGTAGTAATATAAATAAAAAATAATATTTTCATATTTGTAACATTGTGTATACATCTACCTCAGCTTCGTTTCAAATTAACATTTATTATTTACGTAGAAACAAATGTATATAAACAAATGTATACGAACGTAATTTTGCTTGATAAATACTAAATTTCTGAGTAGCCTGCTTGATGCGCCACTGAAAATTTGGTGCTAACAAGTGATACATCCTCGAGACAGCCTTAAATATAAGATCTGACTGTGAATACCCGGCCTCTTATTACCGCCTATTGCCGGATCCGGACTCTACGCGAAAAGCGGGCGGCGCGCAAAATATCCGGTGCGCGTCATATCCGCGGCGAGGACACCCGGCACATCTGCTTTAATTAGTGAATCATGAAAGTCGTTAGTTACCGGTGAATACGCGGCTCGCAGCCGATGCGGCCGCCGATACGGCGAGTTATGCGTTATCATAATTGGCGCACGGGGCGCATGCATACATTAAGGTAGTCGCAACAGATGCGGTTACAAGCGGGCTCAATGCTGCGGCGTCTCTGCGCGCATGTGAGAAAGCTTTGTTATCGGACTCAGACGGCGAGACGACGCTGCAATCCTCATGAATATGAAACGTTCGGGGAACGCGACGCGACGCGACTCGAGTACTCGGCTGTACGCGACGTCGCTCCTGTACTTACTGTGCAATATATGAAGAAGGCGCCGAGGACAATGACGCGCAACAAAACCGGGCTGGCCGCCCGCACCACCTGTAACAAATCATTTTGCTCGTTCATTCACGCGCCGCTTGTTTGCCCGACGGTGGCGGACCGGAAACGCGTAAATAAAATTAGCGTCGGCGAACGCAACGGCCGGAAGAGACCGGACCCTTTTTATCTCGAGCGGGGGGCTAACGAAGATTGCACTTGACCGATTTATCTCGCACACTTGTTATCGGGCCGGGGACCTTGAATAGGCGGGATCCGTCTCAGGGTCTTAGCTTGATTGCCTTATTTCTAGTCTTTACCTTAACCTTAGTCTTAGCCTTTGTCTTGATCTTTCGAAATTGCGAGCGCTTCTCAGTACATAAACTTTCTCTCTCTCTCTCTCTCTCTCTCTCTCTCTCTCTCTCTCTCTCTCTCTTTCGGATTTTTCAGTTCAGACATCGGCGAATCTAATTCCCGGCATTTGGATCTTTGATGGCAATTATTTGCAATAGGATCTTTCTCGAATTTTGATATTTTTTTGAAGCAGTTTTGGTAAAGATTTTTTGTTATTCCGACAGTGATGATCAATTGGGGGAAGCCCAAAAAATATGTAACCTATCTGTTTTTTTAACTATTTTTCTCCAATGTATGAATCATACTTGCATGTAGGATATCGTATCCCTTGAGATTTAGGTAGAAATTGTAACAAAAGTACTGAAGAGATTAGAATATTTCCTTATTTATAACAAACTTTAGTTCATTGGTAATATAACAAAACATTTTTACGAAAATAAATTGAATTATTTTTTAGATTGGAGATCGGGTCTTCAAATTGTACTATTGGATTTTTAAATTATATTCTTAAATTGTATTTCAAAGATAAGCAATCATATAAACAATATAAAATTATTAATTCTAACCCTACATTACACTAAGTATCAATCACAATACCTTAGATGAATTGCACGAAAACTTACATGAAACATTAAACAAAATCAATTTTGAATGTCACTCGTAAAAAAATAGATAGATAAAGATTAATGGAAATAAAGGAAATAGTTAAGGAATAGCAGAAATAAAGAAGTAAATAGGTTGCATATTTTTTGGACTCCTCCCATTGATTATCACTGTCAGAGTTGCAACAAAGATTTTCATCAAAACTGCTGCAAAAATACATCAAAATTCGAAAAAGTCGCTATAATAATTATTTCGATTGCCGAATTTCTGCGAAAAGTTCTCGCTTCTTTGAATTCTTAACCCAATTTGTTCCTCTATCCCTGTTGTAGGAACAGCAAATTTACCTATCTTCAAAAATTTGATATCTCTGATAAAGGTAATTTCCGGCTTGGATCATATTACTGAAATATAATTCGGACTTTTGCCTTTCAGAAAATAATTTCACCTGGCTACCATCCATCATCCCGGCGGTAGACGAGGGTCGAAAATAATATTATAAGACACATCCTTTTAATTCATTGCCTCACCTTTTTAATTAATTAATTAAAAATTAATTAAAAATAGCAAAAATAGAAAAAAAGAGTCAAAAAACGTTAAGCTATCATTGCTAAAAGTTCAAATCGTCAATAATGACGATCCCTGTTATAATATGATTCACTAAGTGTACGCCAGGTTATTATTCAAATGTGCCGACTATTTTCCGAGGGAAAATTCGGATTATAGTCCTCCGAGCTCTTTGGATTCCAATTACCCTAAAACCGTACTCGGATCTCAATATTTTTGCAGCCCGGCCCGAAATGGATTAAGCCTACGCACTCCCTGGTTTTATCGCGAAATCCACGACTTACAGACGCTACAGACCGGCGCAATAATGAATCGGAGTGAAAGGAAGAAAGAAAGATTAAGTCCGTTAGAAAAAGTAATTACAAGCGATCGCGATTGACGACGAAAGCTGACAATTTTCCCCGCCTTCGAAGTTACGTCGACATTCGTCGTCGGATAAACTTTCTTTCGGACGGAATTGAAACGCTCTTTCCATTCTCTGCAGTCGAAGTTGCCCATGCAACTCTGGCGTAACCGATCATAGTTACTTTTCAAACGGATTAACGAAACGTGCGAGTTCCTCCACGTGCAAATTTTACGTTCCGCGTTATTTAATGGTATCCTGCTACGGATGCTTTGTTTATGTTGTTATCCGCGCTCGCAGCATTGTTCTCTCCCCAGACTTGCATTCCAAATACATATGCATATGTTTGTTACACGCAGATTAGTAGGGCGGACATCGTGCTGTTTATCTCGCTCAATTTCACTGGCCGCTGAATTTATTTACGCGCATGTTACGATGAAAGCTGCAATGTTGCAACATTCGGCCTCGACAAGCAACATTGATACCGCCCATATATTTCAGGCAAAAGTGAATTGTCTCTCGAACAACCGTGCGCCGGCGTGTTTGCACGGCAAACGTTACCGCGACGCGATTGGACAAACACGATCCCTAAGGCCAACTAAAATTTGTCCCCCCGTTCGCCGGAAACAGCCATTCTCTATAGCCAATTTACATGGTGTTTTCCCGCGTAAAAATAGGAAAGAAGAAACTGACGGAGATAACACACCGACGGCACCGACAGCTCGTAAAGTTGAAATATTTTAACCCGGCTCTATCGCGTCGGCCGCCGGCGAAGAAGCAAGCCCGGTTTATTCGAAATGCACAAGCGACCTTTTTCACGCGGGCCTTTAGCGCGATGGCATACTGATGACTGATAAAAGGGAGCATCACACGAGCCACGCTTAAATTATAAATTATAATTCCGCGAGAGGATAAAGTTCCCCGGGGTGATGTAAATAAGAAGAATGTATCCAAAACAACTCTGTGTATCATCTGACTTGTAGAGCGGGAGCACAGATTTTTTCCGGGCGCTTTTGCATTATGAAAGGAAAAGAGCAACACGGAGGAGAATTATTCAGCGTCTTGTGTGCGGCGTTTAGTCCCCCGGGAGGGATGGAAATCAACGATCGATTTATTACCGCGGCAACCGCGAAAAATGGTATGAGAGGGGGCCGGGCACAGCGCCTTGTGTGCGGCGCGATAAATTTAATAACCCGATAATACGTGATGCGCGCCCCGCGGAATTTTCGCCGCGGGTAAACGCCTTGAGCGCAATATCGGGCCGCGTTATTATGATCGCCGACTGAATATCGAAAAGCCGATAGTAACGGCACAGCCGTAAACGTGATTTTACCTGCCCTCCCCCCCCCCCCCCCCC